GTAACTATTCCAGGCTTTTATGTGGGTTCTGGGGATCCAAACACAGGTCCTCACACTTGCATGACAGGCACTTGACTGACTTAAGTCATGTCCACAGCCCCAGTGATCCCCTTTTAACGTGTATAACACATGTTCACAGCACATACCTCTTGCTCAGGAGGTAAAGGCTATGGGGACTTGGGACTGGCCTGGAGTGCACCTGATTGTTAGTTTTCCCTATTCCTCTGTAGCCCCACACTCTCCCCACTCCTGCCTTCCCCTTTCTGCCTTCTACTGCTGAGTCTTGGTGCAGGGAGATGAGTCACCAGGACTCTGCAGTGACAAGCAAGTCGGCCTAAGCTGGCTCTGAGGAGGGGAAAAGATGGGGGTGATGTGGGAGGTCAGCCTTATAGAGAGACACAAAACTGAACCTGCGGCATTCCACTGGTCCAGTTTCCTCTCTCCCTCTCTCTCCCCTCTCTCGATTTCTCTTCTCTTTTCTCTCTTCCTTTCTCTCTCTCTCTCTCTCTCACTCACTCACTCACTCACTCACTCACTCACTCACTCACTCACTGTCTCCCCTGGTTACAGTTACTAGCATTTACTAAGACCCTAGTGATTCATCACTCTGAAAGTCTGTCTCACTTTCCCTGGGGCGGGGCGGGGGGGTGGAGTGGGGGGGGCTGTTGCCAAAGTCATATTACTTCCCCAACTCTGGAAAGCAAAGCTTACCCATGCATCCTCACTCCCCACCCCTCTGGAAAGTAGGGTTCCTCTGCCGCCCCCATCCTAGCTTCATGCGTTTTGCCCTGGGGTCCTGAGTCTGCTTCTGTTCCTCCATTTCCCAGCTTTGGGTTCTACCTGGGTGGTGATGGGCTTGGCCTCCCCGCCTCATTGCCACTGGGGGGTGTTAGGGGTGGTGTCACAAGGCTGGTGAACTTCCCCCCTCAGGCTCATAGGGCTCCAGCCTTGGGCTCATATCAACTTCTCCCCCCCATCCCCACGTGTGTCTGTGCCTCCCCCAACTCTGACTTCTTTGTCTCACCCCCCCCACCCCCGTCTGCCCCTCCTGGTGTCTCTGCATCACCCTTGTCTCAGGAGGATGAGTCGCCGCGCAGTGTCCTGGAGGAGATGGGCCTAGCATAGCCCACCCCCCCGCCAGCCAGCTGGGGGCCCTGTGGAGATGGGGAGCCAGGACAAGACACAGAGCTTGAGAACTGCTCCCACATTCCCCAAAACCCTTCTCTTGGTGGGACCTCTCTGCTGACTCATCTTCTTTAGAGGGGGCTATGGGCTCCAGCCCATCATTCAAACATTCCCTCCCTCCACCTCTTTATCCTTCCCAGCCAAGGCTTTAGAAGCTGGAAGACAGGAAAATGTGACCTGGATGGGGGTGCTAGCTAATTGGCTTTCATTCCCCTGCCTTCAAAGAACCAATGTCACCCAACCATCCTCCATCCTCGCACCTCCCCTTGTCCTTTTATCACTGTAAATATATAAATATGTCAGGTTAAAGGGAAAAGATTCCCAGGGCTCTTCTTTCCCCTCTGCCCCAAAACCTACCTCCACCCCTCCCCCTAGCCAGCCAGGGCCGCTTCTCTGCCTGGGAGGGAGGGCTTTTCCCTCTGCCCCCACTTCCTCCTGGCCTTGTGTCCAGTCAGAGCCAGGAGAGGAACTACGGAGTTAATTTTTTTTCTAACCTTGCCACCTGGAGGAAAGGGAAGGTTGGAGGAAGGGCCTCCTTTCTGAGACACCAACCCTGTTGCCCTGCCCCCTACACTCCACTTTTGGGGTGTGGCAGGAGTCAAGTGGGTGGGGTGGGCCAAGAGTCTGCCTTTATTTCCTTTCAGAAGAAATAAAAAGAATAAGTGTTTCTGGACTTGGTTTGCCTTTGACTTGCGGAGGATGACTGGCATCCACACAGAAGCTAAGGTCACCCTCCCTGTTAGTCCCTTCCTAGGACCTGGGTCATCATACTTTAGGAAGAAAAAAATAAATAGCGAGCACACAGTGAATGTCAGATTGACAACAGATTTTTGTGTAACTATGCAGGGGTTTGAATCCAGGGCCTTGTGCATACTATGCAAGCACTCTACCAACAGAGCTACATCCCTAGCCTTTGTTTTGTTTTATTGAAACAATCTCTCCCTGGCTCACCTGAGAGATCAGGCTGTCCTCAAACCTACAGAGATCTGCCTGCCTCTGCCTCCCACATGCTGGGATTAAAGGCATAGGGCACCCCACTGGGCTATTCCATTTTTTAGACAGAGTCCTGCTACAGAACCCTGTGTGGCCTGGGACTCTGGGTGATCCTGCTGCCTCTGTCACCAGGATGCTGGGCTTACATGCATGTGCCATTACTCTTGGTCCAACAGATGAATTGTTTAAAAAAATAAATAAATAAATAAAACAGGGCCTCATGTAGCCCAGGCTAGCCTCAAACTCATGGAATGGGAGGATGACCTCAAATTTTTTTTGAGATGGGGAGAGTGTTACTGTGAACTCTGGCCAGTCTGGAATTGCTATGTAGAGCAAGCTGGCCTTGAACTCACAGAGATCTACCTGCCTCTACCTCTGGGATTAAAGGCACTACCATATCTGGCTATTCCGTTTGTGTGGAATTGAAATTTAAGCCTGCTTTGCTTTATGTCTGACCCCAAACAGACTGACACACTACCTGTGGCTGAATCTGCACAGGGAAGGGCAAGCCTATGGTCTGGGTCTTCTAAGATGCCCTGGGGAGACTCATCTGCCCAGTTTACTTTAATATGGGGAGGTGGTTTGGGGGTTCAAGGGTATCTTTGTTTAGCAAAGATATGGCTAAAAGCAAGAGTATTTGGGGGCCTGCCCCTTCTCCCTAAATGTCTAGGAATTCAAGGAGCCCTGGAGGGAGGGATTGATAACACCCTGGAAAGGTGAGAAAAAAATTCCCAGGCACCAATAGTGGGGCAACTTTGGGACTTTTTTTTTTCTTTTGAATTGTAGAAACTTGTTCATCCTAAGATAACTGTCACTGTTTTGCTTTTTTTTGCTGGCCCTGTATTCGATATATGGGATCCAACCCAGGCCTAGTGCATAGTATGCAAGCACTGTAACAACTGAGCTACATCCCTAGCCCAGCACCTGGCTCTTTTAACACCCACACAAGGTGAAAATAGAAAGTATTGATTTTTAATTACATTTACTTGTGTGTGTCGCTGTGTACCATGGTGTACATGTGGAAGTCAAGGGGCAACTTGTGGTAGTCTGGTCTCTTTACACCATGTGGGACCTGGTTTTGAACTTAGGTGGTTAAGCTTGGCAACAAGTGCCTTTACCCAGTGAACCATCTCACCTGCCCCAAAGTAGAGTTTCTTAAGTATTAATAGAACATTTTCCTCTCAGGTACAGCTTCATGTTTTTCACTGTAGACATCTAGCTTTGGTTTGAGGACAGGCAACAGGTTATGGCCCCTGGCTGGCGCTTCCCTCACCGCCCCTTGTAAAGGACCATGCAGGCCCAAGGGGACGGGTGAATAACGGAAAACAAAGTCCTAATAAAATAGTCACTTTTATTTCTTAGCAAAACTATTTCCTCCGTGAGGGGTATTTACAACAGAGAAAGGAAAGAAGTGGGTAAGCTCACAGCGATTTGGAGAGTGGGGAGGCTCCGGGGAGGCCCCAAGGCCGGGAGACACTTTTTCACACGATTAATTGGAACAGCTTTTTCCCGTTTTGGACCGGGACGTCCCAAGAGAAACTAGGTAGGGACCAGGCCCCTGGAAATGGGGTATGGGGATGTGTAAGGGGCCTCGCACAAGCCACCCGCCCGCATGGGCCGGCCCGGGATCGCCCATTGAGTAGTGAGTTTTGGGAGTTCCAAAGGCTGCAGATTAGGGAAGAAAGTCTTAACAGGTTCCCCACTGCAGAGCCCGGGGGCAGGGCATCCCGCGGGCAGGGGGCGGGGCCGGACGGCAGCCGAGGGGCGGAGCCGGGGCGCATGCAAACACCGAGGAGGAGGAGGAGGAGAA